GCTAGTCACATGACCAATTTGCATATCCATTTTGATTGCATATACTATGCATGTACAACACACTTGCGGCCATCTTGCTTTTTGGCCATATTACTTTAAATGTCCATTCATTTTGAGTCAGGCTTATCCCAAAACAGTTTTAAAGATTCAGTTTAATGTTGCATGTTATAGATGCACCATCATGAAAACAAACAAATTAACAAACAAACAATTTAGTTTTGTTTTATGCATACAGTATCACTTACAGATTTCGTCAGCCATGTTGGAATATGCATGTGAACCTATTCTGATGAAAATTTACCAGCACATACCTGATAATTCTTTGCATATAAATGTGTTAATTTGCATATTATTATAATTAGTTGAATTTAATCAACTATTCTAAAAAAACCGCACACCAAATTTAAATAAAATTTGGTATGTTGGTAAAACTCAGACATACATAGTTGAAAGGTTTCATGAAGTTATCAAGTTAACATTGCTAATAGATTGAAATAACATTAACAAACTGATCTTGTTTTTTGGAATTAATAAAAATTGTTGTTTGTAGTGAATAGTTTAATCTGGTGTTCTTATTATTTGTTGGCACTCAGGTAAAAAACTTAGTTTAGGTTAAAATCAATTTGATGTTTAAAGTTGTATTATTGACAAAATTATGGATCAGAAAAACTTTGACATGTTAAGGATTATGTAATGTAATAAATACAACATCTACAGAAATGGCAAGATACCACCTCGCTTCAGTTGTTGAGTATTCAGCATCTTAGGATGTCATTTAGTCAATGAATTTTATGCAGGATTATCTGTTCGACGATTGAAAATGGACTTTTTTTACAAAATGAATCAACACTCAATGTAATATAATTTCCATTAAAATTAGGTTGAGACACACCCACACACATCTTTAGTTGTTACCTTTATAGCAATTAGGTTTCTTTTTTTTTTAATTTTAGAAATAATTTTTTTACTCATCTTACCACTGTGTGCGAGTGAATTTAGAACATTGAATGTTACAAACTTATTAGGTTACTTGCACTTAGTGCGTACCTGAACAGCAATGCATGACAGGATTTATTGTAGTAAAACAATAAATAACATAGTTGATAAATAGTGCAATGCATTAGGTTTTGATCAGTACCGGTATAACTTGATAACGACGCAACTTTCAATTTTTGCCTAAGGTACTCAAAATTGAAAGGACGTTCAACAAAGTTTTCCCAACAATAGGACCTTAACTCTTACCATCTTGTTTTAATTTGTATTTTACTAGGAATCTATTATGGACGGCCTGAATGCACAGAAAAAAGAAAAAACTATTTATTACTCACCAAGAAAATCTCCAAAACAAAAGAACAGTCTAGTAAAGAAAGTAAACAGTACAACAGTGAATGAGGGACTATGCCCGTTGACGATGTCTTCTTCAAATGTTTTTGAATCGCTGCACATTGATACCGAACTAGTGAATAAAAAATCCAAAGCATCTTCGAGTAGACGCTGTTCTTCCGAATCTAAGGTCTCAAGCTATATAAAGAACATTACACCAACGTTAAGCCGAAAGAGAAAACTTGATTTTATGGAAAGCTTATCGAATTCAAAAAAGAAGAGAAAGAATCGATTATGTTGTAAAATTGAGAACGTGGGTGAACAGATTGACAATAACAAATCAGAATTAAAGCCGTGGCTCTCTGATAGTTTCGCCGAACTCTCAGCTGAGGAGTACAAATTCAGACATCATATTGGTGAACGAAATGCTGTGGAAAAAGTCATCTCGTACAGTGAAACTGTGTCTCTAAACAAACTTTATAAAAATGAACAGCAGATGGAGTTTAATGAGCCTGCTGTTACCAAAGAAGAGAACAACAACACTTTGAAGATGACCGAACTTCAACAGAAGGCACTAAAAAACGTCTACATAGATACAGATATCTCATTTCGTGCCACTGCACTCAAGCAAGAAGTCTTGGACGAGAAACCTGTCAATTTCAAAGAAACCGAAGAGCAATTTGACGACAATGATGATGTTTTCACTAAGCTGAAAGACAAACCAAGTCTTGAGCTAGAGACTGAGGAACTGTTAAAAAAAGCGTCAGTTTCTAAAAAGAAAAAAGGCAAGGCAGAATATATGTCTTTTCCTGAGCCAGAAACTAGAAAACGTAGAATAGCCAGTCTTACGGCACAAACCAAAATGCAAATATTATACGAAAAGGATGAAGTCAGGGTACCAAGGAAAAAGGTACGTCTGAATTCAGCTCCACTGAAGGACAGTAAGAACAAGGGTCAAACAAACACTAAAACCGGCACTGTCAAAGAAACCACAAAGAAGGTTGAGAAACCGGAGAAAATGCTAAAGAAGAAGTGCAAAACAAAAGATATGATGTCAAAATCTGATTTGAATTTGTTGAGCAAAACTAAGAAATCTAGGAAAGTAATAATGAAAAGTAACTTAGTGTCGGAAGCTATTCATGTTGCGAGGTCAGTTGCCGGGTTACAGACACCACCAGCAATATGGCAGCAGCCGGTAAACGTGACCGTGAACAAAATGTACATTGATTCACAGACACAGTTCATTCCGTTGCAAAGTGCAAGTGGGATCTCTGCATTGCAGCTGTCTCAAACTGTCACAAGTAAAGAGAAAAAGACAGCAGAGTTATCAGAAGAAAAGAAAGCTAAGCTTACTGCCAGAAAGAAGTGGAAAAAGAAACTTCAAAATCCGTCACATGGAGTTCGTAATTCCTGCCGAACTGCTAGCCTACATGCACAGGCTGTGATGACGTCATACAATCAAGGACATAAAGTAAGGTCTGGTTCAAACAAGCCAGAGTTTCGTGCCAAAAAAAAGAAATACCTGTCAGCTGAAAAAGGACAGTGGATAGTTGGACTAGGACCTACATACAACTTTATTCCCAACACAGGAAATGCTGTTTTTCTCAGCAATACCGCAACACTGCCATCATATGCTACAGCTGCATTCCCAATTTCAGCAGCTAAGAAGAAGAAAAAGAAAAAACACACTCCACTTGAAGGCCTTGGGCAACAGCTTTTAGCATCAGCAGCTGGAACTAATGTTATATTACCTAGCAGTTTAGAAGGACAGACAGTCACCATTGGTGGAATTGGTAGCTTAAGTACGCCTATTATGCCTGTGCAGTTTACACCATCATCCACCTCCTCCGGGAAGAATCACTTTTCACAAGGTAAAGAAATTTTTCCTGTCTTCATTGAGAGTCATCAGTTCAGCATGTCAGATGTGGTTGATCACATTGTAGATAACATTTATTGGCAATACTGGATTGTAGAAGTGCTCGCTCATTAAGGAGTTTATTAAACAAACAGATCAGGATTCTAGACTCAAATTATGAAACTAAGAACAGTAAATATTTTAGATATGGTGTCTCAAAGTTGTTGCATTTGACGAACATATTAATACTTTGTGTGTAATTTTGTATGGCCTAGTTGGATATAGTTAGGTCTAACTTTACACAAATATGGGAAAGTCGCTGCATATTACCAACCATTTTTAATGGTACAATCCTGGTTTGCCTAGCAACACATGGCATCATGGGTAGCACCATTATTCATTTTCAGTTCGTTCCTTTTTTCGGAGCTGACGAGCAAAAAGAATTTGGTGTGGACTTGGTACAGACTAGTTTTAACACAAGCCTCGTACAGCTAGTGGTACATTCTGATGTTTTTGTGTGGTTTCTGTATGTTCAGTTGCCACAATCTATTTTGGGTTCCATTTGAGCATTTGTTCGTCCTTCATAGTGGTCTGCGGACTTTGGATGACAGTCAATAGAGTTTACTTTCAGCCACAGTGGATCCCCTACTAGCTTTTCCCCTCATTCCCAACCCAGCTACCTCAGTCTGTTTCTCTGCATCGCTACCAAAAAATAGACTCTAGAATATTTGCTATATGATTCCTGCTCTACCCACTACAATTTTACATAACTTATCCTTTAGCCTTTGAAAAAAAATCAAATTTTGGCTAGTCTCCATGCGAGAAAACTTCAGATGGCATATTCTTTTGACTTTTGTGTGTGCCTGTGTCTGTGCATCCCTACTTGTATCTCGGACAATTCTTTGCCGATCACATTCACACTTCACAAATACATCACATATCTTAGGCGACATATGCATGTTTATTCGTGTCATGATTTGATTCAAGATTGCCAAATGGTGTCCATCTTGGTAAAAATGCATCTAAAGCAAACATTTCTGCCATTTGAGAACTCAACTGTATCTAGATATCGTGTATAGGTAAATTTTGTTCAAACTGGTTAAATACATTGGACAATATAGGCCTTGATACATATTATTTTGTTTTTCAGTTCAGATTCAAAGTGGCTGACTGGTGGTCATTCTGTTCAAACTAATGCTGTTCCAGAGCCATATCTCTGAATGCCTTGACTGGTTATGTATATTTTTAGCTCCGCTGTCGACTTTGTCGAGCGGAGCTTATCATATGAGTGATTGTCCGTCGTCGTCCGTCGTCGTCGTCCGTCGTCGTCCGTCGTCCGTGTCAATGTTTTACTTTTTCGACTTCTTCTTGAAAACTACAAGCCTGAATGCTTTGATACTTGGTGTATATGTACCTTGGGTAGACCTCTCTTAGGTTTGTTCATTTCATGTTGATATCTTCAATTCTCTAATTTTGGTGAATATTTTTGTCATTTTTGGTAAAAAGTGATATTTTCGACTTCTTGTTAAAAACCGCAAGTGCAATTGCTTTGATATTACATCTATAGGTACTACACGTGGACCTCTCTCAGATTTGTTAATTTTGTAATGATATCTTTAATTTTGGTGAATATTTTTGTCATTTTTGGTAAAAACTGATATTTTCGACTTCTTGTTAAAAACCGCAAGTCCAATTGCTTTGATACTACATATATAGGTACTACATGTGGACCTCTCTCAGATTTGTTCATTTTGTGATGATATCTTCAATTCTCTAATTTTGGTGAATATTTTTGTCAATTTTTGGTAAAAATGTATTTTCGACTTCTTGTTAAAAACCAATAGTTCAATTGCTTTGATATTACATATATAGATACTACATGTAGACCTTTCTCAGATTTGTTCATTTTGTGATGATATCTTCAGTTCTCTAATTTTGGTGAATATTTTTGTCATTTTTGGTAAAAAGTGATATTTTCGACTTCTTGTTGAAAACTGTAAGTCCGATTGCTTTGATATTACATATATAGGTACTACATGTGGACCTCTCTCAGATTTGTTCGTTTTGTGATGATATCTTCAATTCTCTAATTAATTTATTTTGGTGAATATTTTTGTAATTTTTTGGTAAAAAGTGATATTTTCGACTTCTTGTTAAAAACTGTAAGTCTGATTGCTTTGATACTATTCATATTGTTCATTTTCTAATCATGTCTTCAGTTCTTTAATTGAAATGTGCATTGCTAACAGCGGAGCTATCTCAGCCGATAGGCTGCTTGTATATATACATCATACATTATGCCGAACATATACACGTATATATGTATATGTATTCACTGGACAATTAAATTCAAGATGGCTGAATGGCGGCCATTTAATGTTAAAAATTCATCAAAAGCAAGCATTACATGTCTATACATCATGTTGCACATATGTACATGTATTCATTTGACAATTCAATTTCAGATATATGGCCCAGTGGCGGCCATTTAATATTAAAAATTCATCCAAATCAAGCATTTCTGCCATTCTAGAACCAGATTTTGGTCATGAATGAATTTTTCATTTATGTGAGAAGGAGGGAAGTCACAGTGAGAGGGGGGATTCATATAGTGAGTGGAAGGAAGTCACAGTGAACGGGAAGTCGCACTCAGAGGAGGGAGGTCTAGTGACAGGAGGAAAGTCACGTTGTGAGAAGGGAAGTACAGTGAGTGGAGGGGAGTACAGTGAGTGGAGGGGAATACAAGGAATGGAGGGGAATGCAGTGAGAGGAAGCCACAGTGAAAGGGAAGTCATGATGTGAGGAGGGAAGTCATGATGTGAGGAGGGAAGTCGTGGTGTGAGGAGGGAAGTTGTGGTGTGAGGAGAGAAGTTGTGGTGTGAGGAGAGAAGTCGTGGTGTGAGGAGAGAAGTCACAGTGTGGGGAGTGCAGTCACGATGGGAGGAGGGAAGTCATAGTGTGGGGAGGGAAGTCATAGTGTGGGGAGGGAAGTCAGGGTGGGAGGAGGAAAGTCATAGTGTGGGGAGGGAAGTGACGGTGGGAGGAGGGAAGTCACGGTGTGAGGAGGGAAGTCACGGTGTGAGGAGGGAAGTCACAGTGGAGGAGTGAAATAACAGTGGAGGAGGGAAGTCACGGTGTGAGGAGGGAAGTCACGGTGTGAGGAGGGAAGTCACGGTGTGAGGAGGGAAGTCACGGTGTGAGGAGGGAAGTCACGGTTTGGGGAGGGAAGTCACGGTTTGGGGAGTGAAGTCACGGTTTGGGGAGTGAAGTCACGGTTTGGGGAGTGAAGTCACGGTTTGGGGAGTGAAGTCACGGTTTGGGGAGTGAAGTCACGGTTTGGGGAGTGAAGTCACGGTTTGGGGAGTGAAGTCACGGTTTGGGGAGGAAGTCACGGTTTGGGGAGGGAAGTCACGTTTGGGGAGGGAAGTCACAGTGCGAGGAGGAAAATACAGTGAGTAGAGTGGAATGCAGTGGAAGGAGGGACATCACAGTGGTAGGTGGACCTGTAGCTAATGGGGGAATTAATAAATTATGTCAAAAAACATAAAAATGTGCAAAATGTTTGACCATAAATCATGGGGTTCAATGGATTGAATACGGTTTTTAACTGCAAAATGTTCTCATGCTTTCCCAGAGATGTTTCCACAAAGAAGTACAATTATTGTTTCATTTAAAAAAGTAGACTGCTTGGTTGACCTTTGCCATTGTGTAGATAATATGGAGGCCTCATTTAACAATGAATTTCTTTTTTTTCCAGCTTTCTCCACTGGTTCTGTTTTGCCACAGTCAGTACCAGAAACGTTTATTACAAAGCAGTACAAAACGTTGCAGAAAAAAAAGAAACCTAAAAAACAACTTTTTGAAGGTGAAGCAGAGATTGAAGACAACTGTTCCACCACCATCACTAAAACCCAAAATTCGAAAAAAGTCTACTAATGGCTGGCAAGGGATTGGTGAACAATTTCAGAAATCAGTGTTTTTACAGGTAAATTGATTTATTCTTTCTTAAACAGCCTGTATGTCTTAATTATTGGAGATTAAATAGAAAAAAGGAGTGACTACATGGTCTTTACCCCAGGGTGTGAGTGTTGGATACTCTATTGGGGAGGCAAATTGGTCCTTACCCCAGGGTGAGTGTTTTGCATATTCTAATAGGTCACCCCTGGGGTGAGTGTGTTGCATATTCTAATGGGAGTCAAATGGGCCCTTACCCTTGGGTGAGTGTGTTGCATACTCTAATGGGGAGGCAAATTGGTCCTTGCCCTGGGTGATAATCAAACTAATTATAACTGTAATAAAATGTTCTTCAACATTATACCAAATGCAAAACTTGCATTGCAGTTAACCTTTATCAAGGAGGGGGTGTATTTTTGCATACATTGTATCAATTGTCCATTCATTGACTTCTCTTAAATCTGTGTCATCCCTTATATTTTATAGACATTTATATGGAGAATAGACAAAAGGAACTACGGGTAGTGCCATAAATGGGAAACAAACTTAATTTCAATGTACGAATCCAGTCTGTCTCAATTTTAATTACATATAGTAGGAGTACAGACACATTAGTCCAGTCGCTATTGCATGTCAGTATGCAGTATTAACATGATATTTTCAAACTCTTTGGTCATTTTTATCTATTTCTGATTTTTCAGAATGATGCACCTTCCGTTGTAAGGAACTGCTACAGTGCTATGAAACGAAAAGGTGGTGACATCATCAACGTGCTGGACTGTATTCTTCTGAAGTCTGGACCCCGTAAAATTGACCTTCCGTACATAGCAAAAGTTGCAGCCATATGGGATGACCCAGAGGAAGGTATACCTATAATAATTTTATTGCATTATTTATCAGTAGTTAATAGCAGGGTGTGAATTTATGGGATGATGTTTTCTCACGTAATTACAAACGAAGTTCAAAACGGGTACTTATAATTTGGTCCATCTGTGCGTCTGTCCGTTCCAGTCATATTTCAGAATCCTTTGAACCGATTCCGTTCATTCTTTGCATGTGCCTAGTACTTTATGTGGGACATATACATGCACTGTTTTAGCGATTTGATTCAAATGGCCGACTGGCAGCCATCTTGTTTTTGAACATGCTTTGTCAGTTTTCATTCAAACTTGTAGATTATACATGTTAAGATACATGTCCATGACAATTTCTTTGGCAATTAGATCAAGGATGGTCGTTTAACAGCCATCTGACTTTTTGGCCCTACTACTATATTTCCAAG